GGTCAGACAAATGGTCCATCCACCCCAGTATCCAGCAAAAGTGGATGCCATAGGTACAGAGGAAGTGCACTGAACCGGATATCTCTAGAGTGGTCTGGTCCCCATTCAATACCCTCTCTGGGATCCACCATTTGTTGGGTTAGAAAGGAAACATCTCCAAGCATTCTGCTCAATAGCCACTAACAGACCTCTCATCCATTAATTTATCCACTTCCTTTTTTGAACCTGGACACATTACCTGCTTCTACCACAGCAGGGGCTGGTCAAGAGTGCAGGTGCCCCCATGTTCAATAGCCGAGGCTAATCCATGGGGGTCATTGTTGTGCTTCCCACTGACAGGTCTTCAAGTGATCACAAAGGCGGTAGGGAAATGGAAGCACAGAGGGCAAGTATTAAAATCCCTGGTATTGAAAAACCTACAGTAGGTCCCCAGGATGGCCAGGCCCCCAGGATATGATGCAGCAGAGGTCAGGTTGCCTGCTGGCCACAATGAAGGGAGTGCATCAGAGCAGAGCAAAGCATTGCAGTGGGGAGGGGCTTATAAGCACAAAGATGCCAAGGGCAAACCACCCTCTGCTTGTCCCAGCACTCCCAAAGGCAGCATGCATGCAGGCAGGTCTGACAGCCCTCCCCCCAAACCACAGAGCCGGACCCGCAGTGAGGAGGAGGGGTCGCAGGAGCCTCTTCCATGCAGGGCTTCAGGCTGCTTCTCCCTGACAGCTCAGTGTTTGGAAGGAGTAGGAGGAAATTAATCCCCTCTGTCTGGGCGCTTTACATAAAGGAGAGAGCTGGACCCAGAGTCCAACAGCAATGCAGTGTGGAAGGTGGCGACAGGTAGCAATCTGGGACAGGTCACATCCACCTTTCCCCATGGAAGCTGATCTGCCTTGGCTGCAAAGCCCTCTGGCTGCTCCACGAAACTGCCTCACCCATCCAAAAACCTTATAGGGTTGCTTGAGCTCCTGTGGGTGACTTGGGACTGAGCTGGCATTCAGCACCTCTTACAGGACTGCTCCCTGGAGCAAAGCTGATCCCTGCGCTTCTGTACCATGGCTTCCAGCCTCCCAGCCCCAAGGCTCTGTGTGCACAAAATGCATGTGCTGCATGGCCCTGTACCAATCAGGCCTCAGCATCTATCCCACCATGGCATCTGCACTCCTTTCTAGAGGCTGACCTTAGCTGCTGATGGGGACAAAGCCAAGTCCCAGCTCAGCTGCTCCTGGCACCTACCATCCAGAAGCAAAGGAACTGGGAAGAAACTGAGCCTCCCACTATTTTGCAACCAGGAATGACTGCCTGCTCTCTGGATTTGCCAGTGAGCCCTAGCTCACACACAGGACCAATACAGAAAGAGCTGGGCCCTTGGTCAGAGAATTTCTGCTCTAGCACTGTGTGGCAGATCTGAGGGAGGGGGTCTTGAGTGGGGACAAGGTAGGAGACAGCAGATGCAATTTCTGCTTATGTTATTCTTTATTATTTACTCAGGTACCAAAGTCATTGGGTCCTATGGAGTTATTCCTGATTTACATCAGTTGGGTAAAAAAGGAACCAGGCTTAATGGAGTTACTCCTGATTTACTGCAGAGCCTACTGAATAATGGAGCCAGCGCTGATCTGCCCCAGCCCACTAGTAGGCCTGTACTTAGCCCTAGTCACCTGCACAGGCTCCAATTATGCTTCCTAGTGGGAGGGGAAGGTGGTCCAGGAGTCAAGGGCAGACTCCTCTGGAGTGACAGTAATGATAACCTTGCCAGTACTGCATGTGCCGTTTCAATGGAGCCCCTGAAGACCCACAGGCTTTGCTTTTGACTCAGCCTCATCATCAATAATTAGCCAGCAGCTGGTGCAGGGCCTCATGCCTGTGCTCAAAGCATTAAGGGCCACCGCAAGCTGCTGGCCATGTTCCCACTTCCCACTCCCCACACAGCAACCAGGACTGCAGATCAGCAGTCCGTTGTGGTCAAAGACACCGGGTTGGAGCCAACAGCACTCCAAGGCAGAGACGCAGCAAGCATCGTATCAGGCTGCCTTGGACTCCCCAGGCCAAGCAGCCAGGTACCTGCTGACATCTGGGTCAGCTGAGGGCAGCCTTTGGCACAAGCACAGAGTGAGACCTGAAATGGAGCTACAGCAAGACAATAGCTCCTCTGCCCTCCACCCCAAACAAGGGCAGTGGGGCCAGTGAATCCAGTGCTGAGGTCAACTGGAACTGCAGGAGGGCCCGACTCAGACATGTGCACGGCAGCCCCCTTGCCAGGGCAGCTCTCCCACCAGTGGCTGCAGCAGTCTGGTGGCCTATACCAAAGCAGAGCAGAGCTAGCCACAGCGCCTCCTCCCCCCACAGCCTGCTCCCCTGCTTTTATGCCTCCCATGACACTTGTCTGTCTGAGCCAAAAAGAAAGGGATGAGGGTGTTAAAGGGACTGGGCTCCTCCAGTGGGAGGGGGTTGAAGGTATGCGAGACAAGGGAAACAAAGGGGACTCATGGGCCCATACATGGGGCTGAGTCCCTGCATGACCCCCCAGCCATGTGGGCTATCTCCAGACACTGCGAAGAGCTGACGTGACTAGGAGCATCCCACAGAAGAGCTCACACAGCAGTGAAAGAGGCCAAGTACCTCCCCAGGATCTGGGACAAATCAAATACCAGAGTTATTTATTTTCTCATGCACTGAAACAGGAAACCTCCAATATGTGGAAATCCTGGCCCCTGGCCAGAGTCAGGGGGAGGGAAGGGGACTAGATTTTTGTTGAACAAGAAACCCTGAGGCAGCATCTCGATAGCTCGCTGGGATCAGCATGGGAAGGGCTGCTTTTTAAAATAAAACAACACGAGCCTCAAACCCAAGAACCCCCACCCCTCCGTCCCCCTCAGACTGCCACACTCACAGCAGCTTGGCACTGGAAGGCAGCAGGCTTGCGCAGCCTGGGACCCTGGGTGCAGGGGGGTGTTTGCAGACAATGTGCTCTTGCCCAGGCCAGGAGCTGAGGGGCCTCCCTCCTACTGGGGATCCTGGAAGAGGCCAAACACAGAACTGGCAGGTCCTCCCAGGACCGAGCCCCCCAGCTCCTCCCTGCATCTCTCCTCAGCTACCCTGCAACATCTCACTTCCCTGCAGCAGGGACTCCGATCTCTTGGCCCTGTTACTTCAACACCCTAGTGCCAGTAACACCTGGGTGAGTGTGACCTTCTCCCATGGGGCACAACACAATCTGGGGACTCAGGGGTCAGGACTCGCACATCTGCAGACTTCCACTGGGAAGCCACAACGCAGTATGGGGCTTCCTCTGCTGTCAGAGCATTTTTAGGCCCCCAGAGATGCCTTGCCCCATAAAGGAGGCGCAGGGTGTTTTTGCGTTTCTAATGCTTCCAGGGATACATGGAAAATGCATGACATAATACCTCAGCCCCAGAATTTCCACTCCTCCCCAGCCACGAGGCACAAACAAGGCCAAATACTCTTGTCGCCGGAAGCACAGAGCTGAGCTGCATCACAGTTCCCAGCCCAGACCCTCCCAGCCCACTGCTGTCCTAGGGAATGAGGCAATGAAGCACTGCAGGATCAGGTCCCGAGCTCTCCCTGCTGGGGGCCATGAGCACAATGTGCATGGACTGGCTGGGCAGCAGCAAGAAGGGCTTGGGGGCACTCGATGGGAATCACTGGACACCACCTTCTCACACACTTCTGGACACAGCTGGGGGCCAGCAACCCCTTGTTACATAGCATGCTCCTCCTCATCCCTGGGGTGACCCAGCACAGCTGTCACCAGTGGGGCTCCTCCAGTACAGCTGATGTTGTCAACAGGGACTAACCATGAAGGAAGGAGGTACCAAAGATGCCTTGGTTGGAGTTCCCACAGTCCTGGGCTCCTGGCTGTGCAGCTCAGCCCCAGCTGCTTCCCAGGTGTCCATTTATAGCCCTTCCTGACCTGTGGGCATAGGGAAGGGGAGCTCAGGTGGAGTCATGGAGTCACCAGGGGCCCGCTAGTGCCCCTGCATCTTATCACTCTGATCCCCTGCCCAAGAGACCTGGCTGGACCTTGCAACCATGTCCTTCTGATTGCTACAGTGTGCCTGCCCATGCCATATGCCTGCTGCACTCTTGGTGGGGCAGTCAATGTATCCCAGAGCATGTCCTTAGAGTTGAAGGGCCAGGCCCTCAGTGGATGTAAATCAAGAGACCTCTACTGCAGTCAGTGGGGCTTCAGTAGGGCTCTGCTGATTTATGGGGACATGGCCAGAGCTCTGGACCCTTGCAGGAACAGGCACCAGGCATTCCCATGTGCTCCTTTCTCCCTTTCACCATAGTGGAGGGAGCCAACACAAAGCCAGACTACCAGATGCCTCCCAGCTTGCCAGTGGCCATCTGCCCTCTCTCCTCTGTCTTTTGTTACACTGCCCTTCAGGCTCCCACACAGTCCCACAGCCTAGCAGTGTGGTTTGGGTGTCAGGGCCAGATTTAGAACCATTATAGTTTCCAAAATCAGGATTAAATGTGTTGTTCCCTAAGTGCCCAGCCTGCCAGGCAAACATCCCTTTCAGAAAAAGCCCCACCAGCCTGCATTCACCTCAGATGTGCTGCACTTCCAGCTAGACACCAGCAGCGTTCCCTCTAAGCTGTGTGGCATGCATGGCCACGCAGGCACGCTCATGCCATGCTGCCAGGTACGCCTGCGCGGCTGCGCACACCACACAGCTTAGAGGGAATGCTGGACACCAGGACTGCAAAGGATGCTAACACTTTGCATCTTGATGGCTTTAGAGGCCACCAGATGCTAAACAACACTAGCCACAGACCCCATCATCCATCAGAAGTGCACAGGGGAAGGCTACTGAGGTCTTCCATGCATTCACATTACCTCTCTTGGTATAAACATGACCATTTGGCTTAGGTCAGACTAGGGGAAGCTTTTATCTACTTACTAAAATCCTGATCAGGCCAGAAATGGCGGACTCCAGACTGCCTGCCTCCAGGTGCTGGCAGCCAGCATTGGTACTCACCCTGTGGTGATGTCATCATCCTCTGTCAGGGTCTTCCCCATCAGGTCGCTGTCGCTCATGTACCCAGACTTCAGATCCACGTCATCAGCATCCAGTGATTCGACAAGCTCCAGCCGGGAGATGTGGCTCAGCTTACTGGGGCTGCGCATGGGCATGGTGTGGGAGTAGTGTGCACGCTCCCCATGCATGTACCAACTGGGGGTGCCCTCTGAGCGGCAGCTCCCACCCACAGAGGGAGCATCTCCAGCCTGCAGGCGAGGGCTGGATTGCCCATAGCGCCAGGACAGTGGGGAGGAGCGGTTGGACAGGCTGGACACACTCCTGGCGTTCGCCTCATCGCTGTCATAGCAGGTCATCTCCAGGGAGCTGCAGGGAACACAGAGGAGAGATTAGGGGCATGTGGCCCAAGGACAGTAAATGCAAGGCAGCAGTTCCAGCCCTGGGTCCCATTTTGCTATTGTTCAGGCATCAGAGGCTGCAGGTGCTCCGCATTTTGAAGATAAGGCTGCTTGGCTTTGGGATTTCTGGCCCAAGGCCACACAGCAAGTTTGGGGCAGAGCCATGATGGGGAACTACTAATCTGGAGGGCTGGGCCACTGTTTTAACCGTAATCCCTTTCTTCTTTCTATATGACTCCTTCACTTTATTCCCACCACCCCTGCTGCCCCTTCACCCTCCTCATTTGTGTCACCCCCTCCTTCCAGGGGCTCTGCACAGAACAGGAACAGAGCCACCCACTCTGCTCCCAGGCCTATCCCAGGATCTACTGTGCCAAAGAGCAGTGCTGCAGCAGCAGCAGGGACATGGCTCCCAAGGCGGGTCTCCATGCCTTTTCTGTGCACTCAGCGCATTTTGTGCCTGTGACCCTTGCCTGCATTTAGCTTACAAGGGAGTCAGGCCTGGGGAGCTGCAGGGAAGCTTAAGTGTGGGCTTGGAAGAGCCTAATTGCCCCACAGAGAAAGTGGGAACAGCATCCTGGTCCTACTCACACTCCCATTCCAAGCCCTTCCCTTCACCTTCACCTTCTGTAAAGTAGCCACTAGATGTGAAATGCAAAGCAGTCATGAAAAGCAGGGGGTTGGGAGATCTGGCTAGAGGCAGAGCAGGGTGGGGCAGGGCTGGGCACAGCAGCCCAGCAGAGATAGTTTTGATCATTGTGTTGAAACACAAGAGCTGTCTTGTTAAGCTGGAATTAAATGTAGGCTTTGGAGCCCTGAATGTCAGGCTCAAAGCTGCCAACAGCTCCTGAGCCATCTGCTGGGGGGCTATTTCTCTGGACATCACACATTTCCCCAGGACGAGCTTAATGAAACCTGGCATCAGCAAGCTACCCCCACCTGGGGGCGCAGGCAGTGCCACAGCCCAAGCTGGTAACCTGCATGCTCACGTCCCATTGCCTCTGTTTAGGCCTGACCATCCTGATAAGCTTGCAAATGGGTTGCCCCATTGTTACAATACCTGAACCTGGGAGCATGGCAGAGAGGACAAGGGGGAGAGTGCAGCCAGGATGGAGGGCAGCAGCAGGGCTCTGCATGGAGACCCCAGGGCTGGGGTAGCAGAGGCTGCAAGTTGGGGCTGTGCTCCAGTCTCACCCTCTCCCATCCCCCTTTTCAGACCCAGGAGTCACCTGGAGAATCCCAGATGCCTCACCCAGACACCTGCAGGCAGGGGATCCACACCCAGCATTGACCCAGCTATGAGTTTCATTGTCTGCTTTGCTGACTCATCAGAGCACAAAAGGAAATGGACAAAAGGGAGATCATCTCGAAATCCAGAGGCATTCATAAGGCTGGGGTGACCTCAGCTTGGATTTGATATGCACACTCGCTGCAGAGAGTTCCTCTCTGCATGCCTCTTCTGTGCATGCAAACCTTGCATGCATTCAGCTCCCCTTTGCTGTGTGCCTGGTTCATCCAGCCTCATGGGTCTGGTGTGGGAGGCATGTGAACGCCTGGAGTGGCTCAGCCTGCTCCCACTGGGTTTCTGTATACTTGGGCCACGATCTCACGCACTGTCTTCCAGCCAGTCTCTTGTAGGTTGGTCTCACTTGCCCAACCGCAAGTGCTGGCATCTTCACAGCCAGTGTGCCATAAGGAATACATGCGCCCAGACCTGCAGGGAGCTGTTGCTCTGGAACTGCAAGCCAAACATTAAGCAAAGCAGACAGGCTGGAGGGGAGCCCTGCCATTGCTTGCTGGGTCCCCTCCTGACGTGACTCATCATGGGTGGAGCTGAGTTGGCAGCACTCACCCTCCCAAGTGTGGTCTCTGTGATGTGCAGTGATACCCTGACAACGCTGGACAGGCCCAGCCCCAGGCACCCCTGAGGAGTTAGGGCATGGGAGGGCACTGCCCTGTGCCCAGTAGGCAACAGCGTCACTGGCATTCAGATATGTTCTCTCTTCAGGGATTATCTAGGCTGATGCACATGCAAATCACTACAGAAGCCTGGCCAGGGCACTGGCACCTCTCTGTGGCTCTGGGCACCACTGCAGGGTTCTCAGCATTTCCCTGGGGTTTTCACGTCTACCTGAGGGCCAGGGTAGGATTGGCAGAGATACTTAAGGGAGCTGGCCCATGGAAAGAGTAGTCCCTTCAGCAAGCCCAGGGAGACATCAGGAGCCTGAGCATGTGCCAGCTGCCTGACAGCAGGGTACAGGACACTCCCAAGGCCCTGCAGAAGGTACCTTGGGTGCAGTTCTCCTCTCATCTACATGCATGGCACAAGGAAGGCAGGGTCCCCCAGGCAGGCAAGTCTTAGTGAGGGCCTCATACAGCCAGACCAAGCCCTGATCCTGCTCTCAGGCAGCCCATGTAGAGCCTAGAGTGCTGCAGTCACATGGAGAGGCTGGGATGCCTTGCTCCCCAAGCAGGATGGCACATTCAGCACCTGCCACAACATCCAGTAATGGGTGCAGTGAATACCTGGCAGTACCTGGTGCTGGGAGCCAGGCTTGGAAGGTGCACTGAGACCCACGTGTAACCCAGCTCCCTGGCCAAGCACAGGGGAAAGAGAGGGGCTCTGGACATGGTCTTCCCAGGCATCTCTGCATTAACTCCCATGGTTATCAAATGCCAGTGCCAGTGGGCCAAAGCTCTGAGCTGCTCCGGGCACAATTCTGAATGGCTTTTGTGTGTGTAGCACTGAGGAGCCCCAGCCAGGACCTGGAGCCCATGGTGTGAGGGCCTGTGCAGCTCCTGGCTCTGGCCCCAGGGTGCCGACAGACTAAGACAAGAGACCACGGGTGAGGACATGATGCCATGGCCAGGGTTAGTTGGGAGTTTGAGCCATGCAAGGGCGGGTGTTCCCTGATGTCACCTCAAGAGTGCTCCTGGGGAGCACCTGTAATGCAAACCTGTGACAGCAATGTAACACACACACAGGGCACATGTCACCTGCCCACTAATGGCAGGTCCACCCATTGGATTACAATCTACTGCTGCCAGCATCTAATAGAATTACTCCTTCAGCTGAAGCAGTTGAGATCCCAGCCATAGACCCACATCCAAACCCTGCTCTTGACCCAGGACGGGGCTGCTGTAGAGGTAAAGGGAGCTCCATGAGAGGACCTAGCTTGATGCAGCAGCCCTGGGCAGGGGTCTCTGGCCTATGCTATGCAGGGGATCAGACTGGGTGGTCGCAGTCCTAATATCTTAGATTGATCCGAACTCCAAGCTTGCCTTCAGTGGCCAACCACCCTCCCCACCAGGTCCCTCAGTGAAGATTGCCACAGACTGCTCTGGGAGGAAAGGGCAGCTCAGCACCTGTCCTGGGAGGCACTGGCTGGCAGCAGATTTAGTGACCTACAGGAAGTGGGATTGATTCACTAGTGCCTGGCAGCAGTGCAGCACCTTCCCCATAGCTGTCCCAACCTTTCCTGAGGCCTGCTTGCTCTCCTCTCCCTGTGGGGCAGAGGGGCCACTGGGGCATGGTCCTGCAGTGGCAGCACTGAGTGACAGATGGTCAGCCCTGTGCTGAGCTGAGCTTGCAGGAGATTTTGGCAGGTAGGTATCCCTCCACCTACTTATCCCTCAAACTGCTGCTCTGAGGCTGGGCTGGGTTAGGCTGAGAGCCTGTCAGAGGCCTCCAAGCCAACACAGCAGGGAGCTTGAGCTGAACTCCCACCTGCCCAAATACCTGGGGGGCTGCCCATGTGCTGAAGGGGGTGGGGAGCCTGGCCACTGGCATCCCTGCCCCAGCCAGCCCCTGGCTCCCTGCTCTCCGTGATCCAGCTGACTGCCTGGCCCAATTACTGGTTTCCCTGGCACTGCCGCTGACTCCATGGACTCATTGCTGGCACTGAGCTCACCCTATCCTTATCCATGCTCTCACCCTCCCACCCAGTGGGACTGCCCCCCTCGCTGGTGGTGTGCTCTGCCCTGTCCCACCCTCTCAGGCTGGCTGAACACCTCCAAGTGTCTGTGGCTTCCCCCTGAGCAGATCCCCATCCCTAGCACTGAGGCCAGGAGAGGCTGCTGTCGCTGCATTAGCTCATCTGGGCCACAGAGCCCGGGAGGGGAAAATGTTACTCAAGACAGACAGGGCTGCCAGCTCCCTGCTCAGAGCAGAGAAGTGGAGCGAGGGGCACCTGCTGGAGCTGCTCTGCTCTGCTGCTGCTGCAGGTCTGGAGCTCTGTCTGAGGAGACTGAGCTCAGCCTGGCAGCTTCAGGCCCTGCTGGCTCCAGCGGAGCCACTGCACAAGGGCCATAGCCTGCTGCTGCCAGGTAGAGTGGGGGTGCCTAGTATCTGGCAGCATGGCAGAGGGGCTGCACACTTCACACTAGGGAAAGTGGTCTAGCCACTCCCAGGAGTTCAGAAGGGCCCTTGGGAGCAGATATGTCTATGGCCAACCCCAGATAGTCCACAGGGGAAGTTATAGCTAGGGAAGCCCCTATTTCCCTCCCGCACTACCAGCTGGTCTGATCGACCACAGGGGATCAGGAATGCTTCTCCTTCTGGGATAAGTGCAGGGCAGGGAGCCCCTGAACAGCTCAGCACTGCAGCAGGCCCTGACACAGGGGTTTGGGAAGGGAGGTGCAGGAGCCACAGGGCCTGATGAGCTGCTGTGATGGCAGCCCCATTGGCACCACAAGGAGAGGATGAGTTAGGTGTGTCTGGGAGCTGTTCTCTGCCCGAAGACAGCTCTGGGCACTGACGGCAGCTGCTGGCCTCTGCTCCCCACTCTCCAAGGAATGGTCCCTGGCAGAGGGGATGGAGCTGAGACCCTATTACACCCAAAGACAAGACCATGCCTGTGCTCCCGGTGGGGCTGCAGCTGTGGGCTGGGCCCAGCAGGCCATGGTGCTTGCTGGGCTCTGCTTGCCTGCCCTGGCAGGTAGGGCAGTACAGACACTCCTGCAGCCCTC